CCTGAACAACTCCTACAGTGAAGAGGCATTTCCTGAACAATGGAGGTAGTGCATATAAAAATGTATCATGTTTCACAATGTTTGAAACTGTTTATATGCTGGTATATATCATATGTGTAAATTATTATTAGGTCACCACCCGTCTGTAAACTTTTAGATATTTTCTTAAGAACCGGGGAATGAATCTTTTTAAACTTGGTAAGCTTCATCCTTGGTGTCCACTTGTCCTGAAGTTGAACAGCTCAGTGGATGTTGACTACATTTGGCCTGGAGTTCGAGTATCCTTGGTCAAAGGGGACCCAATTTTGTATAAACAGAGGGTGTGACCCTCCTGGGGGGCAGAGGAGAGGGGTCCAATAGGGGGGAAATATTGATAAGTGTTTAAATTATTCTCTTTCAATATGCTGAGAGACAGCCTATAGTTGCAGTACATGATGTATTTAATCAGAATATGTTCCCGTGGTTGTTTAAATATCCAGTTGAGGGATTCAGGCCCTCTAGGCCTCTTGTTTGTCTCTTTATTTATTTTTTACATCTAATGGTAACTAGTGATGGGCCAATACTTGATAATATAACTCAAAATTGATCAGCTTGCCTTTTCAATTATTGATTACGGGTACAAATTCCATAACTTGATCTGTCCATTACTGAACTCAAGTGTCAGCTGTAGATTGTAAGTCTGAGCTATTTATTTTGTAAAAGGCTTAACAAAAAAATCAGGTTGGCTTCCTGTTACATGTTAAAAGTGCTTCCTTGAAATTTTACCAAAATAATAGGTAGGCATAAAAAAATACGATGGTTTTCTGTTACATGTCTGAACAAAAATAGGAATTAGGGTTGGGTACATGTAGTTAATGTTTTTTTCTTTTTTCACAACGCTTATGTTAATGTAGGAAGTGATCCTGACTTTAACAGTTCTTCCTTGAAATTTGACAAAAAATAGAGGAGGCACAAATCATTAGGGAGGGTAACTGGAAACAAACAACATTTCTTGTTTGGCTCAATATTTATTATATGATTGATGTTATAGTTAATTATGTAAAATACTGAAGCAGGAAACCTAATATATAGTTAACAACTCTATTGATTCAGTAATTATGCACCATAAAATTATAGACTACATAATTATGCAATCATTCATCCATTAGTTTACTAACTTCCAGTAAACTGACCATCGGGTATGCTTTTGAAACCAGATGCCTGTCACTTAGGTGACATTTAATACAAAGACATATTAAACACACTACAATTAAACTTCATGCTGATCAATAAAAGAATTTAATATTTTGTTAAGTTACCTAAATGGATTTATATGGATAACCCGTCATAGTTTTAACTTTGAATTTGAATTATTATTTGAATTGTCCTCTTTATTCAGCGACATCCTCGAGACACAACAACAGAAGCTTTCTAAAGACATGCAAACCATGAGATGGAAACTTGTTTTGTAATTCACTACCAGTGACTGGCAGTCCTGAAACAGGTGGTTAGCTTAAGTATATTCAAAATGAGGTGTTATTATAATAAATTAGTCCTAATATCATAAACACAGTTTCGAAGTTCCATAGTGGGATCTGTATATATACTTAAAATATATGTTTCTTCTATGAAATGGTGCTGATGTATTCAAGGTATATTATGTTTTATTGTAGGTTTAGTATGAACCAACTTTTAGTCAAATTTCAAAAAATGAATGGGTGACCTCGCAGAGTATATATTGCTATTCTCCCACAAAAGCATATCATACAGTTACAACTATCATATCTACAGTGTCTATGTCTGATTCATGACAATATTTTTTTTTTATTTTTTCTCCAGAATGTCCAACTTTTCTTGGCAAATCCAGACCTACCATCAGGATGCAGTGTCATGTAAGACACTGCAAGAGCTTTGTCTTTCTGGGATTCCTAAGCCTTTGAATGGAGAAAACAAGACACTGCTGCATATATGACGATGAAAATACCATATTGTTGGACATTAATTAAAAAGAGCATTGACCAATGACATGTATACCGTGGCTAGTGATTGATAATTGTTGTGATTTTTCTGATTTGGCCATACAGTCAGAATGAAGGAAAGACAAATATCATGGTTCATGAACTTCAGATACACTTTTAAGCTCCTCTGGTACAAACTGTCATAATCTTATGGTATAGTGAAGTGTCTGTCATAAGTCTGTCTGTCAACTTTTTCTTTAAATTACTTTTTTAAATTGAAAATCACAGGGCCCTTATATTTGGTCAGCAAGTACTTGGGATAAATACTTTAAAGTTTCATCATGTAGATTACCTTGACCTTCTTTCAAGGTCACAGGTGTCCAAAACAGGCATCAGTTTCTTAAAAACTGGTCTTGAGTCATGATATTTCATGATGATTATATTTTATTCAGTATTCCTTTGCATTGCTTTGTTTAAAAAATATTTTTTTCAAATTGTTCCATCAAATATATGTACATGTATGTAGATATATGTAATGACAGCATACTTGTTGATAACTTTGTCGTAGCGATTGTTTTGTTAACTTTTATGCATATTGATATTTTTTTATGAAATTAAATCATTGTTTATCTTCATTTTTGTATGTTTGCCTCACAACAGAAACGTATACGTCTCTGCTCACAAGTAACATTTATTATTCCCAGCCCCTACTCAACGAAGTTTACAGAGGATGAATAAATGGATTCGGTCTCACCCTCCATTCCCATTAAGAAAAAGTGTTGGGTCCATTTCTGGGTACATCTAGGTAATACATGCATAATGATGGCATCAATGACACAGCTATAGGGACACTAATTAATGTGTGTAGATGCTGAATTTGACTTACATTTTAGACTCCAGTGACTTCCTTCTACATTGTACATCAGTGCACATTAAGAAAAGTTGTGTAAGTCCATATCTCGGTAACAAAAACTATTATATTGGTAAAATTTTAATTAATGATGCAGGTAGGGTTGCTCTCCTGAATGCATGATGAGGATGCTTAAGCTGACCTTTCATTAAACACTTCAGTGCCTTTCTTTTCTTTTAAATATAAATGTAACAGGAAAGAGAATAGTGTGCTTCCACCGGGGATCGAACCCTTGATCTCCAGGTTCCTAGTTGGACGCTCTACCACTAAGCTTAAGGGAAATTCCCTCTAGCTCGAAGCTAGGAGGCGACCTTAATCCTATGTACAATTGAACCCTGCCACACTACTCCAACCTTTTTAAATGTGTTCGCCCTCGGACACCACAACCCATGTTCTAACTCCCTGTCACTACAGGAAGGGCCACGGACACCATTTGTAACAAGAAAGAGAATAGTGTGCTTCCACCAGGGATCGAACCCTCGCTCTCTGAGGTTCCTAGTCGGACACTCTACCACGTGCACTGAGCTAAAGGAAAATTCGCTCTAGCTCGAAGCTAGAAGGCGACCTTAATCCTATGTACAATTGAACCCTGCCACATTAATAAACATAAAAGGGAATTGCATATCTGGGTAATTGTAAATGCTGCATAGCTATTAACTTCAAAAAAATGTTCAGTGTTGCAAACTAAATATATTTGTCATTATATTAGAGCAATTAAAGGTTATTTATTTGATTTGAATTATTCTGTTAGAAATATATAACCATTCACAATTGTATATTTACCACAGAATTAAGTCTGTGAATTTACTAAATTTTGACATGGACATCTGCTATGGACTTGTCTATGAACCAGTGGATATTGATGACAGCACGTTTTTGTTGGGTTTGAAAGTATGTATGATTTTGTTTCAATTGAACATTCTTATCAAAAACTCCTGTTTCATTGGTATGGACAAAAACACATAATGGTTTACTCTGATTGACTCTAAAAATAACTTGTTAGGTGGAGGAAGTTGGTTCATATTCTTCTCTTATCTTT